CCCCCCCCCCCCCCCCCCCCCCCCCCCCCCCCCCCCCCCCCACAAAAGAAGACAGATTCCTGACTGCCAAAACGTGGAGGCAACCAAGATGTCCAAGGTGAATGAATAAACGGTGGTCCCTCCAGACAAGGCGATATTACTCAGCCCAGAAAGGAAATGAGCTACCAAGGCATGAAAAGGCATAGAGGAAACTTACACGCACTTTGCTAAACAAAAGAAGACACCCTGAAAAGGCTACATGTTGTGGGTTTCCAATCTATGACATCTGGAAAGGGTAAAACTGTGGAGACAGTAAAAAGATCAGTGGTTGCCTGCAGTGCGGAGGGAGGGGTGAATGCGCAGAGCAGAGAGGATGGGGGGGGGGGGGGGTGGGCAGTGAAAATACTCTGGTACTATAATGATGGATACATGTCATTACCCATTTGTCCAAACGTACAGAATATACAACCCTGAGCGAGAACCGCAATCTAAACCAGGAACTTCGGCCAATAACGATGTGCTAATGCGCGTTCATGAGCTGGAAGGATCCCCCTCCCGGGAGGAGGATGTTGATAAGCAGGGGAGGGGGCTGGGCGTGCATGGGGTGGGGTGGGCAGGGGTATACAGGAACTCTCTGTACCTTCTGTTCACTTCTGCTGTGAACCCAAAACCGCCGGAAAAAGAAAGAAAAAGAAGCCAGAGCGGCACGCTGATGTCAACCGGCCGGCCTCCCCATGCTTTTATTGCTTCTCTGAGTTGAGGATGACGATAGCGCTGCTCTTCCGCGAGGGCCACCTGGTCGGGGGAGGCGGGGATGACGAATGGAAGGCAGGAGACGTTGTCTGGCCGGGTGTCACGTGCCCAGGGCTCCTGCGGGGGGGGCGGGGCCCTCAGACCCTGCTGGGCTTCTTGGGGTCCTTGCTCTTGGCCGGCATGAAGGCGTAGAGCTCCTCGATGAGCATCTCCATCCGGGCGGTGACCTCGGTCACCGTGTCGATGACCAGCTTCTGCTGCAGCTTCAGCGTTTTGTTCTCCCACAGGGCCGTGTTCTCCTCCTGGAAGACGCGGTGCTCCTCGCGCAGCACGTGCAGGGCCCTGTTCTCCTCCCGCAGCAGCCGGTTCTCCTCGCGGAGGACCTGCAGGTTCTGGTTCTCCTCCCGCAGGGCCTGCAGCGCCTGGTGCATCTCCCTCAGCAGCTCCAGGGACTGGCTCCCGTCAGCCAGGCCGGGGCCGGCCTTGCTCTCCTCGTCCCCGGAAGACCTGGACAGGTTGCTGACCATCTGGCGCAGGACGCGGAGGGTCTTGGAGTCGTCCTGGGGGGGCGAGGGCCCCTTGGACTCCTCGAAAGCGGAGGAGAGGCCTGTGCCCTGGTCCGGCAGCAGCCCGGGGCCGTGGAGCTCCTCGTGGGCCAAGGGGACCGCCGTGCTTTCCTCCCCGGGGCCCGCCTTCTCCTCCGCCGGGCCCCAGTAGGCCTTCCTCTGCTCCAGCCGCTGTCGCAGGGCCCTGTTCTCCTCCCTGAGGAGCTGCAGGCTGCTGTCCTCCTGGAGGCGGTGCATCTGCAAGGCCGCGTCCTTCGCCACCTCCAGGGCCGCGCTGTCCTGGTGCAGCAGCGGCGAGGCGGCCCTGCTCTCCTCCCGGCCCAGCGTGGCCTTGCGCTCCTCCCAGAAGACCTGCAGGAGCCTGTTCTCCTTGCGGAGGGTCCTGTTCTCCTCGCGCAGCGCCTTGTTCTCCTCGCGCAGCGCCTTGTTCTCCTCCTGCAGCAGGTACTCCTTGGCGAGCCGCTTGTGGTGCAGCTTGTGGTGGAAAGAGGACGACGGAGAGAAGTACAGTTCTCTGTACAGGCGGCAGTTTTCGTTCACCCAGCGCCCGTCCTGGAAGACGAACATCTCGTCGCTGAGCTGCACTCGCGGAGGGTTGTAATCCAGCTCGAGGTCCGCCTGCGAGGTGGGGCGCTCCATGGGGTCCAAGGGCACGGAGGAGAAGCGATTCAGCGGGTAGGAGTGCTGGCTGGTCACTCTGCGGCTCAGCCTGGGCAGGGCGGCCTGCCTGGCGCAGCGCGGGCTGGGGTACAGGTTGTGGAGCCTCAGGAAAGGCTCGGCTGTGCCCCTCTGCGGGAGAGAGCGGGGAAGCCGAGAGTTAGTGAAGGAGCCGACGAGCCCGAGGCTGCTGGCCAGGTAAGAGGCCGGCTTACCCCCACGAGACACTCCGTCTGATAGTCCGGCCGGGCCGCGGCGGACACGTTTGCATTTGGCTTCGTGGAGGCCTCGCAAGGAAATACAGCCGACCCCCTACTTGCAGCCGTTCTGGTCTGGAAAGTGACCGCGAACGCTGAATTCACGAGTGCCAGACCATCGCCCCGGGTAGAAACGCAGGGTTCGGTTCCTGCCCGCCTCTAGTCACAGTTTCGTCAACCAACCGAGACATAACCTTGTATTTATGTGGATTACTGTTGAAAGACATCTTATTTAGTATGCACTATTGACTCATTAACATTGAACTTTCAGCCAACAGTGCTGTCACTCATGCCCGAGCAAAGCTTATCTAACCCATGTTCTCTCCGTCAGGCACATCACACCTTCTTTCATTAAAGGGCACTAGACAGCCCTTGGGCAATGTGCTACAGGGCCATTTGAACTGTGCAATCATCCTCCACCCCCCAAAAGAGCACGAAAATGTCAAGAATGTGGCCCTAAATAAACTGTGAAAAGGACACTATTTTACAGTGTGAGAGCTGAAACAAGAAGGCTCCTTGGGGGGCGCCTGGGTGGCTCAGTCGGTTGAGCCTCCGACTTCGGCTCAGGTCATGATCTCACGGTCTGTGAGTTCGAGCCCCCCATTGGGCTCTGTGCCCACAGCTCAGAGCCTGGAGCCTGTTTGGGATTCTGTGTCTCCCTCTCTCCCTGACCCCACCCCATTCATGCTCTGTCTCTGTCTCAAAAAAAATAAATAAACGTTAAAAAAAAACTTTAAAAAAAAAAAAAGAAGTTTCCTTAGCTAGAATGTGTGTATCAGGTGACTTTAATTTTTTGTTATTCTGTACATGTCTGTAAATGACCACCAGAGCGCCACAGGTATTGATTTGCTGGTTACAAACTTTAGCGAGTGGGCACATACACAAATAGTGAATCCATGAATAATGACCGTCACACGTATGTTGTGTAGGTGGAAGGGCATTCACTTGAAGTCCACCCGATATTTGGATCCCCAGCCCCACGATTTGATCAGTGACAAGAATATGGCAAGTTCAGTTTCAGTTTCCACATTTTCAAGTTGGGGTAACTACATCTACTGCCTTTCCTCAGAGAGGTATTTTTAGGATTAAAAGAGAGAACGTATGAAACCATTAACCGTGGGCTCTGGCACACTTCTGTCCCCTTAGTGGAGGAACACACGCTCTTCTCAGTCGCCCCCAGCTGCAGATATGTCCCCACAATTGGCGTGGGCAAAGGGGCACCATGAATCACCCCGACAGACACCCAAATCGTTACGTCCAAAACAGTGGTGCTGTCCAGCAGCCGAGCCTTCTCCCTTGTCCCACTGAGGCTCGCCCTCCACTCTTAGCCACCCTGAGTCTATCCTCCCAGCCCTTTAACATCCGCTGACACAGTGTTAGGCTCAAAGCAGAGCCCAGATGGTAATTCTGGAAGAGAAGGGCACCATCACAGACCCATCACTGAGCAGTGAGAGTTCAATATGTGGTAAGGAAGACAGCAAGGGACACCAAGGAATTCCCAAGGAGCGATTCGTGCTGGTGGCCCATACACCTCAAGACCATCATATCACAAGGGATCAGAGCCACAGAGCTTAAGTCCGATAATTGCACTTCCCAGTGTAGAATAATCGTCTGAGTGTATCTTAAATGCAGATTTCTGAGCTCCCTACTTGTAAGACTGATGCACTCAGTATGGTATATGGTCCAGGAAGCTCCATGTCTAACCAGCTCCCTCGAGGGATGCCAGCTGTGGGCACTCGGGACAGCTCGGAGCCAGGTAGGACGTGTCATTTGCCCAGGTGGAGGTTACACCAGGGTTAAAGGCCAACGTGCTAAGATTGGGGATCACAAGGATTCTCACTGTTCTGTTCTGTCACTGATGGGCGGTGTGAAATTGGAGATCACTTGCACCCTCTCTGAGATCCAGATTTTTTACTAGTAAAAAGGACTCAGACTCCCTGACCCCCTAGGCACCTTCCAACATATAAAGTCAGTTAAATGTGCCTGTAAAGTGGAAATAAAAGCACATGCCCTGTTTGGGTCACCACCCCGTTGTGAGGACTGAATGAGATAACAATTGCAGACGTGTTTTTGAAACTGCTGAGCACCACAGAAATGTGAGGTGTTATCGAGAACAGTAGGTTTTGCTAATGGTAGAATTCTGAGGTGTATTCAAAAAGTGGTGAACAGGTGGAATGTGTCCTGGAGAAGAGGTAACAATTGCAGCAATGAATTAAAAAAAAAAAAAAAAATCACGATAGCTACTTCTAAAGACACCCAAAGCACTTCACCTTAAGTACATTGCAATGCTCTCCAAATATCAAGTCCTCATTTCTCAGGCTATTTTCACAATTTTACAGATAGAGAAGATAGAAAACAAGTCAGGTTATCTGCATTATGTCTTCGGGCGTAGAGAGAGATATAATTTGCACGGTGTATAATGTTGGCTGGAATTCTTTAAGACCCAAAGAGCTAGATAAATAGAAGGCACAGTTCTATGCCATTAACTTTGCAATAAGCACATGTCATTAACTTTGTAAGGATGTGCTTAATCTTCTAGATAGTGAGGGTGCAGGGACATTCTGCAATCAGAACCTTATTTACTTTAAATAAATCCAGCCTCCGTGGTTTTCGTATTTCCCAATTGGGAAAGCACAGTCGCTCTTGTGGCCGAAGCTGAGACCAGAATGAACTTCACTGTGGGCAGTACGGCCCGTTTCCTTGTCAGTTTAAGGTCCCTTGACCCTAGATTTCTGGGACGATTGGCCACAGTCACTAAGGAATGGATCTTGAGAGGTCCTCTCCAGCCAACGGGGGCCTCCATCACAGCAGGATCCTGTTCTAGAACACATTATTACGGGAATTGTGGTTGTAGTCAACAGTGTATATCCCAGTCTTGAGAAGAAAACAAACACTGAGCTCCAGTTTTGTGTTAGGCCCTGAGCTGAGCATTCTACCCACCGAATTAACTTCACCCTTGCAACACTGACTTAATAAAGTGTTGTCGTAATTGCCATTTTACAGATGGAGGAGTAAACTCAAGACTCTAAGTTAAATGAACGGTGCCGGTTTACCCACGAGGTCACAAATCCAGTCCTGGCTGCCCGAACGTGTATGTGTGAAACACACGCATAGGAAATTGCCAAGGATTTATCAAAGCACTTGCAGTACTTACGGGGGGGAAGATCGTTTTTTTGTTAACTTCTTTTTTTAATTTTTTTACCGTTTTTTATTTATTTTTTGAGAGAGAGAGAGACAGAGCGTGAACGGGGGAGGGGCAGAGAGAGAGGGAGGGAGTCACAGAAGCCAAAGCAGGCTCCAGGCTCTGAGCTGTCAGCACAGAGCCCGAGGCGGGGCTCAAACCCACAGACCGTGAGATCATGACCTGAGCCGAAGTCAGTCGCTCAACCGACGGAGCCAGCCAGGCGCCCCCGTTAACTTCTTATTATGGAAAATTTCAAACATATACAAAAAGAGAAGAGCCCGCTAAATGTCCACATACCCCTCCCCCAGCCTCACAAG